ATCTATCTATCTATCTATCTATCTATCTATCTATCTATCTATCTATCTAGTGTCTCTGTGGGTGTGGTCATAGGTGAGTGGGTGAGAACACATGCATCACTACCTCAGTGTAGAAATGGGAAGAAAACCTACCAGAGTTGGTTCTCTTGATTCACCACATGTGTTCAGGGGATGGAACTCAGGTCATTAGGTTGGTGGCAAGCACTTTACCTACTGAGCCATCTCATCGGTCCCTACTGTGTGTTATGTGGTTAATGTTATGTACACGTGGTGTGTCATTAGAAGGTCAGGTGAGAAGACCAGGCCCCTCTCCTAGCCCTTTCAATCTTACCCCTGAGATGGGGACCTCATATTGAATACGGAACTCATACCACCTGTCTCACCGCCCCCCCCCCCCCCAGCTAGGCTAAGAGCCAGCAAGCTCTAAAGACAGTCCTGGCTCCACTTTTATTCTTAAATGTGGGTGAACTCAGGTATTAATGCTCACACAGCAAGTATTCTTACCACCTGACCCATCTATCTGTCCAGACCACATCATTTTTTAAAGTAATTTTGTCTATGAAACAAATTTTGTGTACACTAGATTATCAGAAGGTCAACCATATTGTGTTGGTATATCATATGTCACCAATCCTCTATGAATTTTTATAAAATTATTTGAGATTTAGTTATTTTAAAATTGGGCATATTTATTTGGTTGGCCTATTTGTAAAATTTCTAGTCATTGCTATATTCTCAAAAACATTTTCCCTTTCTCTTGTTCTATGTGCACAGGTGTTTTACAGGCAGGTCTGTATGACACCTACATGCAGTGCCTGAGGAGGCCAGAAGAGGGCGTCCAATATCCTGGGACTGAAGTTTCACACGGTTCATAACCCTCTGGACATGCTGTCAATCTAATCTAATCCTGGTCCTTTAAAAGAACAACCAGTGCTATTAACTACTGAAACATCTCTCTACCTTTGATTCCCACGTTCTCAAACAGCATTCTCATCTGGAGGGGGCAGATTACCTTAGGGTTCTCCTATAATGTTCATTGTCTTCAATCCTCTGGCCTTCCTCAGTTTGTCCTAAAATGCAGAGGAGGAAAAAATCATGATGAAGTCTACTTATAATATTCTGTAAGTTCATGATATCACATATCTAATGCCTGGCGTATTCACCACATTCCCCTTCATATCCTAAAGCACTGAAGGGCACTGGGGAGTGAGGCAGATTTGTTCTCTCACTGTTAACTGAGGAAATAACCTCGTCCTTACCTATAGCAGCAAGGTTTTTGAAGGTTTCCTGCATCACATCTGTGTAGAGTTGCTTCTGGGAAGGATCCAACAAATCCCACTCCTCCAAGGTGAAGCTCACAGCCACATCCTCAAAAGTGAGACAGTCCTAAAACATCCCACAGCAGGAGGAAGAGTAAGATTCACAGCATTGTAACGCAGATGGACTCTGTAGGAAGTCACAGGGTTCTGTGCCCTTCAAAGGTCGTGGTACTCTGTTCACCACACAACTCTCCTTTTACCCAGCATTTCTTGTATTGGTCGGGAACTCATTGTTAAAGAAACAACAGGATAGGAACAGAAACACCAATAATGCTGCTGGATCCATTTTTTTTTTTTTTTGGTACACATAGACTCTCTCACAATAGTCCTGCCACTTAGTGCACACACAGCTAACACTAGCTATCATCAGTCAGTCCACATATCCTTAGAAATCACTGGTGTATTTTTGCTGGTGTCGCGATATTGCTCTTTGGGTGAATCTTAGCAGGGTCCGGAGTTAAAATGTATCCATATAGTTTCTGTACACAACATATTGTTTGCTTAAGTTCCCTCTAAATGTTTGAAAAATTCCAATATTATCACCAGAGGGAGACCATTCGATTCTCCCCCAAAGTGCCATTTGAAAGATGAATCTTCATTGAGTTGGTGTGATAATATTTATCACTTTTTTCATAACTTGTTATTTATGGAGTTTAATATATTTATTATACACTAATAGAAAACTTTGGGGAGGTTATTCCTGGTTTCTTACAAAGTAACCATGGGAATTATGGAGAGGAATTTACTAAGGTAATAATAAATATTACTTAAGAAAAATAGAAAATGCCAAAAAAAAACCCCAATGAAATAATGGGAATCGTGCCACAAATTTTAGATGGAACTCAAATGAATTCAAGATGCCACCACCTCCCTTTGAAAAGGTTACTTTTGCCAGGCAGTGGTGGCATACGCTTTTAATCCCAGAATAGTTTCAGGACAGGCTCCAAAGCTACAGAGAAACCCCATCTTGAGGCCTCCCCCACCCAAAAAAAGAAAAGGTTATTTTTTATTCAAGTACCACAAATAGGAAATCAGAGGGGGAGCCTAGGTGAGACGAATACCGGCCACCTGTCCCCTGCGGAACAAGAGAAGGTGGGTCCTGTACCCTTTCCCACCAAAGTGGCCCCTTTCATTACTCTGCAGCAGTATTCAAGTGGCAGAGCCCCATCTTCTCTGGGCTGGGTTAATAAACAGCCTGTTGGTCCCAACCCCTCTTCCCTGAGTATCTTGGAGAGGAGAATGCAGCCAGAACAGGAGGATGAAGGTTTGTTGCTGGTAGCAGCAGCAATGGTGGGTGTCTAAGAATGAGCACAGAACAAAAAACAATACAGATGTCCAGAGGTAGCTTGTGAACAGAGGGGAAAATGGTACCAGAATGGGGGGCAGGGAGGAGCAAAAGAAGAGGGGGTAAGGTTAGTTCTTTAATGCCCCACTGGAGGAAGGGGAATAGCATAAAGTAGGAACAGAAGCGGTGAGTTAGAGCCCCATCTGCCACAGCTGGAAGCTAGAGACAGCTCACCTCACCCTGGAGATAGGTGGTAACTCCCATCTGTCACTGCAGGTAGGTCCCAGGTGAGGACAAGGTAGGTGGCACCAATATCTGCTCTACTTATAGTAGTCCAAGGGACTTATCCAACCTAGTGAAGGATCTAGGTAAGGTGAAGCAGAAGTGACTGAGAATCCTATCTGGTGACAGTTTGGTGTGGAGGGAGGGAACATACTGGGATCTAAGCAACCCCTGCACTGACCACACCTGGTGCTGCCAGGTCAATGGGGCTTGTCAGAATAAGATGGGGCTGAGGCCCTTTAAGTCCAGGGAATGCTCCCAGGACCCTCATTGCAGTGGCTCTCAAGCCACGGGTCCCATATCATTTATCCTGCACATCACATTGGAATTAGGAGTCACAACAGTAGCAAAGCAGCGACAAAATGATTTTATGGTTGGAGGTCACCACAACATGAGGCTGTATTAAAGAGTGGCAGCCTTAGGAAGGTTGAGACTCAAGCCACTATATTAGGGGAACTACCTTTCTGGAGAGCGAGGTCATGCACAGACACAGACAACAAAAGAAGGATGTATCCCTTGGATGAGCAGTGTTAATAAATCTGAGGCTTGGAGTCAGCTAACAAGGTAGCTTCAGCCCAACAAAGCCCATTGAATCAATCGGTAAGCAAATCTTTAGAGCAACAGTCAGTGTCCATCCTAAGAAGACAGCTATCATCAGTCTTTACTCTAGAGACAGCCAATCCATTGCAGCCACATCTCAAGAGCACTGGTGGACATCCATCCATCCCCATTGACTGGTTGGTGCCACACGGAACAGTTATGGATAGTATCTCTGACACAAATATCCTCAGAGGTTAGTTCTGCGTGGAGCATGGGTTGTGGCAAGGGAGACTACAGAATACAGTGACCCTGTCCTCTGTCACATGAAGCAATGGTTTTCAGGTGACTGGGAGCAGACTTAGAGACTTGCCACGACTGGGGTAAATAGAACACAAATGACCCAGGAGAGAATTAGGTGCTTCAGTTGCTCACTGTAGTGTTCCAGCAACTCAGTCAGGTTTGAATTTTTCCCATCATTTCTTGACAAGAGTCAAAAGGAAAAAAAAAAAAAAAAGACTCCAGAGCAAACACACATGTATCCAATCCAGTGTACATTTTGCCAAGATTTGGTCAGTAGGAAAGCTCTGATATTCTACAAACTCAGTATGCAATCGAATACCCAGATAGAAAATATACAATACTCCCAAGGCTGGAGGATTCTAATTTTTGAAAATCTAGAGACAAGTATTTCCTATTTCCATGAACTTCAGCTTAAGGTCATTAAAAAACAAAACAAAAACAAAAAAACCTGTTCTCTCCTCTGTCCTTTCTACTTAAAAAAAAAAAACCACTTTATTTTAAATTTTGCGAATGTCTGTATGTTGCACGTGGTGCATGCATCTGAGTGCAGGTGCCTACCGAGGCCAGAGAGCTAGGGCCCTTCTGGAACTGAGGTTTCAGGCTGTTTTGTGCTATCTAACATGGATATGGGAATCAAATGAGTCTTCTGCAAGAGCAGAGTTGTTGTGGAATATTCCTTATAATACACACAACCTTTCCATGATGCTCACCCAAAGAGCAGGATGACCCGAGGGGAAAACCCTCATCCCTTCCCTTACACCTCCTTTTTACCCCATTGGACTTAAAAACATAAACATTACGCCCATTTCTGCCTAATTACTGGGTTATCGCTATTGCGATACTTTTCACAGCCAAGTCTTCCAATTAGCACGCAAACTTAAAACCACTTGCACGAACTAACGGTCAAAGGACAATAACAATGACGTCAGAGAGGAGCGCAAGTCTCTTCTTCCAACAGCGCAGCTACTTAGGATTCTTTCTACTGAGCTGGGCAGTGTGGGGGGACGCCTGGATACGGGAAGATCTGAAGGTCATAGAGTTCAGATTTGTGCTTTCTGGGGAGGGAACTGGAAAGACTTCCCGGAAAACTACCGCTGCAGCACAGAGCCAGGCACCCAGCCCCGCAGCAGCTCCCGCTCACGGCCCCACATAAAGGCGAAAGCTCTGCCCAGGACCCTCTGGCTGTCACCACAACGGGAGGAGGTCTGGTCTTAGCGAGGGCAGAGCTGCAGACAAGAAGCCAGGTTTTGGTAAAACGACAGATTCCCGCCGCCATGGAGCAGAGGGGCTGAGCGCTCCCGTGAGCCCCAGGGTGCACCCCCGTGGACTGTGGACTTAACCCGGGGAGAACCGCACACCCCAGCCCCGCGCTCACCATGTCTCCGCCTGCGACTGCCTGCGGCGGCCTCACCTCCGTTCCTGGGGTCCGAGCTCTCCCGACTACCGAGACTGAGACCCCAAGATTTCCTCCGCTGACACTAGGACGGCCGCGCCAGGAAGAAAGATGGCGGGTAAAGAACTTCCGCCTCTGAACTGACAGCTCCCCCAACCTCGGGCACATCTTATATCTGCTTCCTAGGTTTCTAGCTGGCTGGAGGCCTGCTTCTGGTTGACCATTAGAACTAAACGGGAGGACTCTAATGCTGACAACACACCACTATTTGCAAAAAACCAGGAAAATCAAGCCAGCACCTTGCAGCTGAGAGCCATTAAGCGTCCTAGCCAGTTATGAACCCTGTAATATCAATATCGACCTGCCAATCATGACACACCCATTGGTATAATAGTGGAATGGGAGCTATGGTTGCAACAAACTTCTTATTGCATTTAAGCTCTCTCTCCAGGAAGGCACTCAATGGGTGATAGTGTAAACTTGCTCAAAAGCCCAACGCTGGGGAGGGCATAGGCCCCGAGCGAGAACTGATCTGTTGTTTTGCTTCGTGGACATAATGTCAGGCTGCCTTACAAATATCTGTGTTTATGCTCATACATGAGTATGATCTCAGAGATCAGTGCTGGTCAGGGAAGCGTCTGTTTGCAGCGGTTGATACTACAGACGCTGAGAGTAAGTGCTGTCTGTTACCCATCCAAGGCATGGAGAATATCACAAAGGATAGGAAGAATACATGCACTGGAAAGTGGGAAGTGATGCTGTGAATGCTGTCCTCTGCACACGATAAAGCTCTTGAGCTCACAAACCTGCAGAAAATGGGTCCTCTGGACACTAGACAATGAGGCCCCACCCTTCCAGAGGAGCTATTAAGAACTGATGGCTTGCTGGGGCAGAGTCACTGTCTTCAGAGATAGAGCCACGGATAAACTGACCATGGTACAGAAAACTATAACTCTCACCAATGTTAAGTCAACTAACCGTAATTAGGGTCACAAGGTCGCAGACCAACACAGACTGAAGGGAAAGTCAGAGGGGACATACTGAGACCCGGGTTCAGCAGTAGTAGGATGGGAATGGCTGAGTGTAAGAGTGGGTGAAAAGATCAAAACATACATATACGAAATTGTGAAAATTACAAATACGAAAAATACAAATAGTAATGGCCAGTATCTGAAGGAGGTGTGTCCTAAGACCTGCAGTGGAAAACAGTGGCTAGTAGTTAGCCTAATATATACTATGGTTTCCCTACTCATACATACGAGGAACTCTAATTAGTTAAGTGGACCCAAGAACTATAACAGGACTGTAACAGTGATATATAATGAGTCAGTTTCTTTCTGTCTCAACGTCACAGTATACCACACTCCACTTTCTTCTTCGACTGATGTGACGTCACATAGCTGGTATACAAAGAGATTATAAGAAGTGAATTATGGATTAGCATGTACTTCATGATATTACTCAGAACTACCCACAATTTAAAGGTTATGAATATTTATCTCTAGAAATTTTCGTTGAATGTTTTCAGACACCAGTTGGACTGAAACCGCAGAATCCATAATGCAAGCAAGGATACAGCATGAGTTAGCTGAACCTGCTGGACATACTGGGACAGCTTGACTGGAATATATCGGCCATGCTCAAAGCCCACAAAACTTGGATAGATTTGTCGGAAACCCTTTGGGAGGTGAAGCAAATTCTTTTGTTGTCACGCATTGAGCAAATATCCTTATGATTGCCACATAACTGTGCTGCATGCTGGTGGAGCTGCTTCTCTGGGGTCTCACGGATGACCATTCTTCCATGGACCCTACATGCACTGTATTGCTGAAGACTGCAACAGCCACATTTTGTCTGGACTTTGTCCTGCTGGGAGTCTGATAGCTCTCCTCCCGCCAGACAATTTTGCCTAGGCCCTAGGAATGTTGGAAAGATTTCTTGGAATATACACGGAGAAGTCTACTCTTCTCTCCAGCTTTTATACTCTGCAGACCTGGAGTATTAGCAACACATAGCTTGAGATCTGTTTGTGACTTCTCGTCAGCAGAGGGTAAGTGCTGGCTCACTCAAGTACAGCAAGGAAGAACCAGATTTATTGTGGCCTTAGCTTCAAGGTTAGTTGGTATCCCGAGCTCCCCTCTCTCAATGTTAAACTCTTCTGCGTCAAGGGCATGACATAGTGATACATCTCTATAACCTCAACACTCAGAAGGCTGAATCAGGACCGTTATTTTGTGGCCAGCCTGGGCTATATAATGAGATACTGTCTTGAAATAAAACAGACAAACAAACAAACAAACAAAAACAACATGAGCAAAATAGTACATACATTTGCAAATATGGGAAGGGGAGCTTTGAAAAATGATATTTTTCTTGGCAAGCACCAGGCTTCCTTGGAGCCAAATCTACCAGGTAAGGTGGCTTGGATGCTACTTGTTCTTCTCTAAATATACTGTATTTATATTTTATATACTTAGGCTGAGAATGTTCCAGATCTTGACACACAACTTCCTCTTTGATAACAGTAACAGTTTTTATGTCCTTTCTCACCTCCTGCATTTCCTTAGAAGCCAGCTGTCAGGTCCAAAAGAAACCTGGAACGAGTCTCTGTATCTGTGACTCTCCCAGCACCTCTAACACCACCCCCTATCCTAAACCTCTGCAGCCCAGGGGCTGGGCTTCCCTTCCCTTCCCTTCCCCAGTTTCTGATCCTTTATAAGCTCGCCAGGCTGGCCGCACACTCTCTAGGTTCCCATGTGCTCTCTTGGCCTCTTAGCACCTTGCTGGTTCGCCCTTGTCTCCTGGCCCTCTTGGTTCTCTTCCCTCTCTCCCTCTCTTGATGTCCCCCAACCCATGCCCCACTCTTTCCTTTCATGGTTTGGTTCAGTCTGGACCCTCCCACATGCCTCCGACTAAACTCTCCATATCTAAGGTAAAATTCTTGTACTCAACCATCTTGGAACAGTCATAGCCCTGTTTTCACTCAGCAGTAAGGGAAGCGATGCAGCTACCCAAACACTAGCTGAGACCGTTTATTCCAAATATACGAGCTCATCACTGGCGTTCTGTTCTCTAGACTGTCCTTAGACACCGAAATAATTCAGCCTTTTAGACACTTGTACTGAGGATGGCAATTTTCCATTTACAATCAGACATCCTCACTTCTGATTAAAATCTCATCACTATAGCTTCGCTGTCCATTTCCCTGCCCACATTCTGTTGAAGGGAACTGTGCTGGTTAGCTTTTATCGCCAACTTTACAAAATCAATAACTACCTAGGAACTAAGTCTCAGTGTGAGAGTGACCATATCGGGTTAGTCTGTTGTCATGTCTGTGAGGGAGTGTCTTGGTTGTGTTAGCTGATGTGAGGAAATCCAGCCCAAAAGTGGGTGGTGCTAGTCCCTGAGTTTGGGTCCCAGACTGGGTAAGAGATGAAAGGGAGCTAAGTGGGAGGCATGCATGCATTCATCTCTCTCTGCTCTTGGCTGTGAGAAGGATGTGACATGACTACCCATTTCAAGTCCCTGCCTTGATTTTTTTCTGCAGTAACAAACTATAACCTGGTCTTGAGAACTAAATAAACCATTTCTCAAGTTGCTTGTCTTTTAGTATTAGTATTAGTATTAGTATTAGTATTAGTATTAGTATTAGTGTTAGTGTTAGTGTTAGTATTAGTATTAGAGAGAGAGGGTTTCTTTGTACATCCCTGATTGGTTTGGAACTTGCTATGTATACCAGGCTGGGCTCAAACTCAGTTACAGAGGAATATTGTCAGTCATGGCAAAGGAGACACAGCAGCAGGCAGAGATGGCACGGGGAAAAGAGCAGAAAGCTGATGGTCACAGGCACCCATACTCAGGAAAAGGAGAATGGAGGAAGTGGGCCACACAATAAAGTCTTAGCCCCGCTCCCCATTCTACTTCATTCAGTGAGTCTTCACCTCTTGAAGGTTCAACAACCTCCCAGAGAGTACCACCAGGTGGAGATCAAGTGTCCTACCATGTAAAGTATGGGGGACATTTCACATTCAAATCACAGTACCCTCTCCCACTAAGGTAGTGTTCAAATCAAAAAGGCACTCTGATGCTTATCTCAATTACTGCTTTTGGAAGTGACTTCCTTTAGTATTTCAAAGGGGGACATCAGAGTGAACTAGATTGTTATTAGATCCATAAGAAAAAGCCACAATGAGACAGCACTGAGTGTACAAATAATCTTAACTATTTCATAACCTGGGGAAAACTTCAGGGCTTGAAGGATGTGGTTGATATCACACGTACTGGATGGAGAGATGGCTCAGTAGGTAAGGATGCTTGCATAGCATGGGGACCTGATTTTTGATTCTAGCTTGTGCCCTTAGAGGGGAAGTTATGTGGAAGAGCTGAGACAACACTACTGACTCCCATCCTCACTTCAGGTACAGCGAGACCCATCTACTTGTCTGGCCTCTGCCAATACAAGTGCGTATAACACACACACACACACACACACACACACACACACACACACACACACTGCTTATCCGTCTCACTCTCTATCTATGTATCCATCCATCCATCTATCCTATCTAGATATCATGAACTTGAATTCCCAGCAGCTGTGTAACCTGCAAAATATACGTACACACTATTGGGGTCATCAACATCTTTTTATGAAGGGGAGAGGGACTTCTATAAAATTATAGGCTATTAACTAGTAACTATAGAGAAGGGCCCATGAGGCTTATCCACTCCTTGAGGATCTGTATGTAGTTAATGGTTGCTAGGGGAGGAAGAGACATTTCTTTGAGTGGTATTGAAACTGGGAAGGCACTAGTTGAGAAAAAGAAAACAGATCCATGGGAGTAGAAGAGACATAAGAGAATGTAATGAGGATCTCTATGAGTTTGGGGCTAGCCTGGTGTGCATAGCTAGTTCCAGGCCAACCTAGTGTACTTGGTAAGAATGTGTTGAGAGATGGGGTGGTCATAGGGTTCATTTGATTGAAAGTGTAATAAAATATAGAAATGCACTTGTAAATCTTCAAGTGATGCTAAATGAATGCACCCCAGACAGCTGGGTTTCAAAGTAACAAGAAAGCTCAGTTCCAGACTCTGGTGTCCACACTCAGAATTACATACTACATGTATGTGCGGAGGTTTGAATGAGAAACTTCCTCCACAGTCTTAAGCATCCAGGCGCCAGGTTGGTGGAGTTGTTTGGGAAGGTTTAGGTGGCATGGCTTCTCTGCAGGAAATGCATTACAGGGGATGGACTTCGGAATTAAAAGTCACCGATCATTTCCATTTCACCCTCTGTGCTTCATGCTTGCACTTAAAGATGAGACCTAGCTTCCTACTCTTGTTTCTGTGTCTGCCACCTTCTTCCCAGCTACTAAGAACTCTTATTCCTCTGGAACCATAAGTTTTTTCTGTATATTGCATGTTGCCTTGATCATGGTGTTTTATCACAGCAAGGGAAAAATGTCTAATACAACATGCATGGCAACAACTAAATTAGTGAAATGCATCACACCTATGCTTTTTATCTTTTTAAAATTTTTTTATTATTATTAAAAAATTTCCACCTCCTCCCTACATCCCAGCTCCCCTCCCCCAACTCCCCTCCCCCTCCCTATCCAGTCCAAAGAGCAGTCAGGGTTCTCTGCCCTATGGGAAGTCCAAGGTCCTCCCCCCTCCATCCAGGTCCAGAAACGTGCACAACCAAACAGACTAGGCTCCCACAAAGCCAGTACATGCAGTAGGATCAAAACCCGGTGCCATTGTCCTTGACTTCTCAGTCAGTCCTCATTGTCCACCACGTTCAGAGAGTACAGTTTGATCCCATGATTTTTCAGTCCCAGTCCAGCTGGCTTTGGTGAGCTCCCAGTAGATCAGCACCACCGTCTCAGTGGGTGGGCGCACCCCTCGTGGTCCTGACTTCCTTGCTCATGTTCTCCCTCCTTCTGCTCCTCATTTGGGTCTTGGTAGTTCAGTTCAGTGCTTGAATGTGGGTCTCTGTCTCTATCTCCATCCATTGCCAGATGAAGCTTCTACGGTGATATGCAAGATATTCATCAGTGTGGCTAAGGCCACTTCAGGCTCCTTCTCCTCAGCTTCCCAAGAAACTAGCTGGGGACATCTCCATGGACACCTGGGAACCCCTCTAGAGTCAAGTCTCTTGTCAATCTTAAGATAGCTCCCTTAATTAAGATATCTTCTTCCCTGCTCCCATATCCACCCTTCCTCCATCCCAAACGTCCCATTCCCCCAGGGCCTCCTCATCCTCCCCTCCTTACTTTTCTCTCCCCATGTCCCTTACTCGCACCCCACCCCCACCCCCCAAGATCCAAATTTTGGCCTGCCAATCTAGTCTACTTCCAATATCCACAAGGATAACTATATGTTTTTCTTTGGATTCACCTTCTTATTTAGCTTCTCTAGGATCACGAATTATAGGTTCACTGACCTTTATTTATGGCTAGAATCCATTTATGAGTGAGTACATACCATATTCATCTTTTTGGGTCTGGGTTACCTCACTCAGAATAGTGTTTTCTATTTCCATCCATTTGCATGCAAAATTCAAGATGTCATTGTTTTTACCACTGAGTAGTACTCTAATGTGTATATATTCCACACTTCCTTTATCCATTCTTCCGTTGAAGGGCATTTAGGTTTTTTCCACGTTCTGGCTATTACAAATAATGTTTCTATGAACATAGTTGAACAAATGCTTTTGTAGTATGATTGGGCATCTCTTGGGTATATTCCCAAGAGTGGAATTGCTGGATCCTAGGGTAGGTTGATCCCGAATTTCCTGAGAAACTGCCACACTGACTTCCAAAGTTGCACAAGTTTGCATTCCCACCAGCAATGGATGAGTGTACCCTTTACTCCACATCCTCTCCAGCAAAGGCTATCATTATTGTTTTTGACTTTAGCTTTTCTGACAGGTTTAAGATGGTATCTCAAAGTTGTTTTGATTTGCATTTCCCTGATTGCTAAGGAGATTGAGCATGACTTTAAGTGTTTTTTGACCATTTTAACTTCTTCAGTTGAGAATTCCTCTGTTCAGTTCAGTGCCCCATTTTTTAATTGGGTTAATTAGCATTTTAAAGTCTAGTTTCTTGAGTTCTTTATATATTTTGGAGATCAGACCTTTGTCTGTTGTGGGGTTGGTGAAGATCTTCTCCCAGTTAGTAGGTAGCCTTTTTGTCTTAATGACAGTGTCCTTTGCTTTACAGAAGTTTTTCAGTTTCAGGAGGTCCCATTTATTCAATGTTGCCTTTAATGTCTGTGCTGCTGGGGTTATACGTAGGAAGTGGTCTCCTGTGCCCATATTTGTAGAGTACTTCCCACTTTCTCTTCTATCAGGTTCAGTGTGTTCAGATTGATATTGAGGTCTTTAATCCATTTGGACTTGAGTTTTGTGCATGGTGATAGATATGGATCTACCTTCATTCTTCTACAGGTTGACATCCAGTTATGCCAACAACATTTGTTGAAGATGGTTTCTTTCTTCCATTGTATACTTTTAGCTCCCTTGTCGAAAATCAGGTGTTCATAGGTTTGTGGGTTAATATCCGGGTCTTCTATTCGATTCCATAGGTCGACTTCTCTATTTTTATGCCAATACCAAGCTGTTTTCAATACTGTAGCTCTGTAATAGAGTTTGAAGTCAGGGATAGGAATGCCTCCAGAAGTTCCCTTATTGTATAAGATTGTTTTGGTTATCTTGGGTTTTTTGTTTTTCCATATAAAGTTGATTATTGTTCTTTCAAGGTCTGTGAAGAATTTTGGTGGGATTTTGATGGGGATTGCATTGAATCTATAGATTGCTCTTAGTAGAATTGCCATTTTTACTATGTTGATCCTCCCAATCCAAGAGCAAGGAAGATCCTTCCATTTTTTGGTATCCTCTTCAATTTCTTTCTTCAAAGACTTAAAGTTCTTGTCAAATAGATCTTTTACTTCCTTGGTTAGAGTTACCCCAAGACATTTTATGCTATTTGTGGCTATCATGAAAGGTGATGCTTCTCTGATTTCCCTCTCTGCTTCTTTATCCTTTGTGTATAGGAGGGCAACTGATTTTTTTGGAGTTGATCTTGTATCCTGCCACATTACTAAAGGTGTTTATCAGCTGTAGGAGTTCTTTGGTAGAGTTTTTGGGGTCGCTTATGTACACTATCATATCATCTGCAAATAACGAAAGTTTAACTTCTTCCTTTCTAATTAGAATCCCCTTGATCCCCTTATGTTGTCTTATTGCTATTACTAGAATTTCAAGCACTATATTGAAGAGGTATGGAAAGAGTGGACAGCCTTGTCATGTTCCTGATTTTAGTGGAATGGCTTTGAGTTTCTCTCCATTTAATTTGATGTTAGCTGTCGGCTTGCTGTAAATAGCTTTTATTATATTTAGGTATGACCCTTGTATCCCTAATCTCTCCAACACCTTTATCATAAATGGGTGTTGAATTTTGTCAAATGCTTTTTCAGCATCTAATGAAATGATCATATGTTTTTTTCTTTCAGTTTATTAATATGATGGATTACATTGATAGATTTGCATATGTTGAACCAGCCCTGCATCTCTGGGATGAAGCCTACTTGATCATAATGGATCAATTTTCTAATGTGTTCTTGGATTCTGTTTGCCAGTATTTTATTGAGAATTTTTGTGCCGATGTTCATGAGTGAGATTGGCCTGTAATTCTCTTTCTTGGTTGTGTCTTTGTGTGGTTTTGGTATCAGGGTAACTGTAGCTTCATAAAAAGAGTTTGGCAATGACTCTTCTGTTTCTATATTGTGAAATACATTAAGGAGTATATGTATTAGCTCCTCTTGGATGTTCTTGTAGAATTCTGCATTGGAACCATCTGGTCCTGGGCTTTTATTGGTAGGGAGTTTTTTGATAACAGCTTCTAATTCTTCGCGAGTAATAGGTCTATTTAGATTGTTCACCTGGTCTTGGTTCAACTTTGGTATATGGTACTCATCTAAAAAAATGTCCATTTCTTTTACATTTTCCAATTTTGTGGCATACAGGCTTTTGTAGTAAGATCTAATGATTCTCTGAATTTCCTCTGTGTCTGTAACATGAGGGCCAGCTTGTTGGGGTTTCTGTCCGGCCCAGTTCCCCACAACCGGCAAGCCCCAAGGAAAATCAAACACAGGACTCCATAAGATTATAAACTGATTGGCCCATTAGGTCAGGCTTCTTGTTAGTCCTTATAACTTATGTTACCCCATTATCCTTACCTACATTAGCCACATAGCTCCATACTGTTCTCAGCTGGGCAAGTTACATGCTGCCTCTTCAGTGGTCTGCGTAGGAGTGGCTAGAGAGCTTCTGCTTCCAGAATACTCCCAGTCTCTTTGCCCCACCCCTACTTCCTGTCTGGCTTTCCTGCCTATACTGCCTGCCTGGCCAATCAGCGTTTTATTAAAATATGATTGACAGAATACAGACAATTCTCCCACACCATGTGTCTGTGTTTATGTCCCCCTTTTCATTTCTGATCTTATTAATTTGCATGTTCTCTCTCTGTCGTTTGATTAGTTTGGATAGGGGTTTGTCGATCTTGTTGATTATCTCCAAGAACCAGCTTTTTGTTTCATTGATTCTTTGGATTGTTTTCTGTATTTCTATTTTGTTGATTTCAGCCCTCAGTGTGATTATTTCCAGTCTTCTACTCCTCCTGGGCGAGTCTGCTTATGCTTTTTATCTTTAGTGTTTTGTGACAACATTGCCAGGCTAGACTGACAAAAGCACCCCACACTATCCATAAACACACACAAACAAGTGCTGGTACAGAATTAGTGTTGGATATGATAACAGAAATGCTCAAGGAAAGGACCCTGACGTATTTACAGACTGAATATGCACAGAGAAGAAAGAAACCCCAATTTATTTCTGAGACAGAGTCTGTTTTCTGTAGGCCAGTCTGGCCTTGAACTTAAGAGATCTGCCTGCCTCTGCCTCCCAAGTGCTGGGATTAAAGGCATTTTTTTGGCACTGCCTGCCTATGGTTAGAGGTTTTTGAGATAGGGTCTCATTATGTAACCCAGGCTAGCCTCATACTTGTGATGTTCCTTCCTTTCAAGAGCTGGGAATACAAGCTATGCCACTACAGCCTTTTTGGCTGTGGTTTCACCTTCCCAGATGACTGGGGACTTTAGACATTTGTAGATGGCTATTAAGAATACTTGGCTGAGTTTCCTGACATATGTTTTTATTCCCAGCACTCAGGAAGCAGCAGCAAATAAATCTCTATGAATTCCAGGCCAGCCTGGTCTTCATAGTGAGTTCCAGTCAAGCAAATGAGACACTCTCTTAAAACAACAACAAACCCATGTGAATATCCTAGTTTTGGTATTAGATGTCCTCCAGGCGTCCTGCGAAGTATTTATTCCATTCACATTTTTTTCTTGCAAATTTTCTCTGCCACTATACTACATACACCCCCAGTTTTCCTTTTTTATTTTAAAACATGCACTTTCTAAGTTATCCAAGCTGTCTGGAAGACAAACCTTGCCCTTGCCGTCCTTCTGTTTAGTCTCTTGAGTAGGTGGAATTTTAGGTCTGAACCAATTACGTGGACTACTCTGGTTTTGAACTCACAGAAATTCACTTGTCTCTGCCTTCTGAATATACTAAGTTTAAAGACATGGGCCACCACTCCAGGCAAAACCAGGCAATTTTTATGGTAATCAGCAAGCAAAAATTAAGTGAATATGGGTCCCATTATTTTGCTCATTTTTTTTTAATTCAGTGAAAGTTACAAGAACAAATCACTGTAGAAGAGGGTCATAACATATTATAATGCACCAGAAAACCTGGCTAGAATTTGGAATTTCTTTCTCCCTTTTTTTTTTTTTTTTGTTTGTTTGTTTCTTTGCTTGTTTTGTTTTTTTTTGGAGACAGGGTTTCTCTGTGTAGCTTTGGAGCCTGTCCTGGAACTTACTCTGTAGTCTATTGGCCTCGAACTCACAGAGATCCGCCTGCCTCTGCCTCCCTAGTGTTGTGATCAAAGGCGTGCGCTGCCAGCACCCAGCACAGATTATGGAATTTCTTAATCGATTTCCAAATTAACTAATTAGAAAGCACTGTCTACATCACTTTTTTTTTCTTTAACAAAGTCTTGCAGCTAGCTCGGGTTGGTCTAGAATGTGGCATTCAGTACAAACTGGTCTTACTCATGACCATCTCGCATGTGCTAATATGCTTAACTCTACATTCTTTTCAGGAGATGGTATTGCTGTAAAGGCAGAGAAGGGAATTCTGGAAGAGTTGGGGCAGGCCCCTGGGTTCCGACACACAGAGAGCAGAGGAAACTGAGTCCCTTAGCTCCCAAAGCAGGGGCAGTGCAGACCCAATGTCTGCTTTACCATGCTGTTTCTTGGGTCTCTGAAGTATCAAGACAGTGGGAGGCTTGACCATGTTCCCGCCCCTCTCAGCTGGCCCGACAGTGCCAGAAAGAAAGATGGCGGGTGAGGAACATCCGGTCTGCCTCCCGGCGTTCCTGATTGGACCGCAAGGATACTAACCATGTCTGAGCCCCGGGCTCCGTGAGGCCCTTAGGGATGCTCCCGGTGTGAACGGCCATCCGTTTCTCCCTCACCTGACAGACAGTATCACCATCACAGCCCGACAAGAAGAAAGATGTCTGGTGAGGAACTGCCGCTCCATCAATCGGCGCTTCTGATTGGATAACTCACGCAACGATCCGCGGTACTGATTGGATAGCGGTCAGAGCCCTCCCTCTACACTGTGCCGGTGGTAAGCTCTGATTTTAAGAGGCCGGCATAGTGACACGTACCTGATATCTCAGCAGGAAGAGGCAGAGAGAACGTCACAACTTCAAGCCCTGTGCAGGAGATATATAAAGACTGTCTCAAAAACCAAAGAGGGAGAGAAGAAAAACTTACACTGCTTTCATTATGTTTAAAGCATTATTTAATCTTTTTCTTTTCTCCCTTACAATAGGTCTCATTACATAGCGCTGGCTGACCTAGAACTCTGTCTGCTTCTGCCGCCCCCTCCCCACGCCCCGTGCTGGGATTTAAAGTATTCACCACCTTCCCCAGCATTATTGTAATCCTTTTAAACGTATGCATACTTTCTAACTTCCTATTTTTGCCTGGCAAATGATCAATGGATCACTACAAACAAAATACTTATTAAGCACACTTGAGTCTATTTCCTTCCTCTAGACCTGGAATATTTGAACCACCCTTCTTTATCATTATCCTAAGAACAGGCTGACCTTAGGGGTAAATGACATCTGGTATAGCATCTGATTTCATCACCCTCTCATCATTCCCTCTTCTCTACCAATTTCTTACCCTGATTTGATCCTCCCTACAAAGAAAACTCCTTTCTGCTTAACCCTTAAGATATTTGGCAGTTGAGAGCCCCTCCATACCATTGTGATGTACCCGTCAAATAATGTCATGGTCTTCAGCATTTTTTTTTAAGGAGATTTATTTTATATGTATGTTTTGCCTGCATATAAGTTGGGGGCACAAGAGGAAATAAAGCTGCAAAAGGTGTTTTGATAGTGCACGCATGCCCACTTAGTGGTGCCCACAGAGGCTAGAAGCAGGTGTCAGATCCAGTAGTTTTAAGCCACCATCTGGGTGCTAGCAATCAAACTTAGGTCCTCAGCAAGAGCAAGAAATGCTCTAAACTACTGGGCTATCTTACTAGTCCCTGTCATGTCTTACTTCAAGTTGTTTGGAACATGTTTAAGTCAATGATGGTGGTAAAAACTTCTAGATCTAGCATTTAGGAGGTAAGAGGCAGGTGGTGGGGAGTTCAAAGCCAGCACCAGCTATAAGGAGACAAAATGTATTCAAGCTATAGCAAGGGAGCTGGCAGCATATTCCTCAGATTTGAGATGATTTCTCACATAAACACCTCCTTCCCCTTCATAATGTATAGTGTAATTATAATAGTTATCTGCAAGCATACATATGATTACTTTCAAAGACAAAAACAAAACATTTGTCATTCCAGTGTAGGGTTTAGAATCATCTGCGAGAATCGCTACAGCCTAAGAAAGGTCTAACACTTCTACTCTAAGCACGCTCACAAGTGCATGTAGATTCAACATTCTAGTTTCTCAGTACCAAGGATATTTCTGTGGCCTGTGAGCGCACATGGATACATGTAGGGCAAACTTCAAGAAGAATCAAATGCTTTCCATGACTTCCTTTTTAAGCCACCAACAGCCTTCACCTGAAGTCATGGGGCCTGGGTCTCTGGTGCCCAGCCCAGTTCAGTAAGTCCCCTCTAAAAAGAAAAACTACCTTTCATTTGGAGAATCTAGCAAAGCCACTCAAACTCAGTTGCATGAATATAGGTAGCAAAAAGCATATGGAGTCATTTCTTTCAGGAAATTAGATATTAGTTAATGACTATTCTCAAAGCGAAACAAAACAAATACTTAGTAAATATCCTTTAGGATGTCTGCATGTTGCCACTGAGAATTTGGTGTCAAATGAGATGAAGAAAATTAAATTAAGTTACTCAGTGTCATAGTGCCTCACCTCAGAAGAAATGACGTTTTGGAAAATCTTGGTAACTCAACAGTGTTGGTAATGTCTACCAATCTTATGAAAATGCATTTCCTTACATTCATCAGGGAAGACTAATTTTTCATCTTTCTACCTCATACTCAAGGGTAGGGCCTAGAATTTCATTTGAACTCATACTGGAATAAGAAGAGAAAGGATGTATATTGTATTCCCTATCGGATCTCAAATGGAACAAGGTGTATGGGATCTATCTGTAGCTTAGCACAGACACAATTGAGCAAAGATGATGAGGGTTTGAGGGCAACCTGTGCCACCTCCTGAGTCCCTGGCCAGCCTGGGCTACAGAGTGAGCTGCTGCTTTGAAACAAAAACAAAAAACAAAAATTAATTAATGGAATATAAATCAGATTACCTCTCTCCATACACCCCATGTGAAGGCCTCTTCGGACATACTATATTGTACTTTTCAAAGTATTCTGAAAATCTGACTTCTGTGTGCTTTCCAAAGTGATAAGTCAAGGGGCACAACAGACATCTGATTGGTACTAAGTGAGATGGTATTATACATAAGCTATGTACCGACCCCATCTTGCTCCTTAATGTGCTTAAAGTCCATCCTCCAAAGAGATACTGGATTGTGTCCGGTGAGCTCAATAAATACTGGGCAGGTTACATTAAAAAAAAAGATATTTACAGATTTGTAGAAAAATGACAACTAAATCACTAAAGGAGTAAAGGTAATCACATGTGTGCTTGTGGACAAGTGATTGATAATATGATAGATTATGAAGGGGAAAGAGATGCTTGTATGAGAAGCCATCTCAAACTTGAGGACTTTGCTGTCAAATCGCCTGAATGTAGTTTAACTCCTAAAAAATTCAGGTGGGATTGTAACCTCTGCCAGGAGATTTTAAGAGGTAGGAAGATCAGGTAGGACTTTTGGTAGAAGATTAGGGCTCAGTCCTCATGAATGGAATACTGTGTTCATTTGACCCATGGATTAATGAGCTTTTGCTGTCTCCAGTAGATATGTTGTAAAAGTCAGACTGAGTAGGTCTCTCTTGTTCTTTGGCTTTGTGATAGCCAGTGACACCTTAGGACTATGCTTCCATGAAGGTCATAAGAAGATAGCTCTCCTTACCTAGAACTAGAAACTTCGAGCAAGAAACAAATTGATATAGAAGAGCTAATAAAAAAGCATACAAGCGACTATTTGCCACACAATTAAAACCAAACCAAACCCAAACCCACAGAGCAATTTGATCTGCTTTCAGGAGAAAGGATGGACAAACACTCAGATTGCACAGCTCTGCCCTGTAAGAACCATCCATGGAAGTCTCCCTTTGAAACTGCTGGATCACTGAATGTTCTGGGAACAAAGGACAGTAGACCAGAGTTATGTGTGCATAGAGGTCTCTAGTCTGGAGAGCAAGTCACTCTGCAGGACAGGACAGAAGGGTGCCAATTACTGGCCTGCATCAACTACCAGAAATGAGAAGCCAAGAGCACAGCAGCAGCAGCAGCAAACTCAGGCTGCAGGACCTGCAGCAGATAGGAGAACACGCAGCAGATAGGAAAAGGCCAAGTTCTGCCATAGCTGCCTAGGGCAGCATACCCTTAGTCTACAGACAGAGCCAACACCATCACTCTGGCTTTGACAGTTGTCCTGCATTCCTCAGCATGGTCTCTGTGGACCATGGAGGTCACAGTGAAGACAGGGGTTATGCCACCTAGAGTCTGGAATACTTCAGGTTCTGAAACTGGCAGCATCAAAAGAGAGGATAAAGGTTTAAAAGACTTCCCTTGGCTGCGTGGGTGGGGAGAGTACAGCCTTTCCCAGGGAATCTGGTAGGCTACTGAACTAGGACTTGTCCCTTTGGCCTCTGGGTGAAAGGAGAAACAACCCCTTTTGAGCTGAGTAGGGCACAATAAATAACAGGTTATACCCACAGATTGGGGGTTGATGGAATTGTACTTTGCGTAGAACTTGCTCCTGGCTTTCTATGCTTAGTGGGTAATTACTGATTCTACCCACTGGAAACAGGCTCAAGAGTTTGCTCAATGAATTCTAGATTATGTCCTATGGGGAGCATCACTGATTTCAGAGAGTGTATGTGTGAGCTAAGTCAGACTAAGCCAGCTGAGAATCTGATGTGATGTTTAAGATGTCTGAGTGAGGCGGCTGACTTCAGGATTATGGCTGTCACGTGCCTGATTGTTCAATCTACTCAAGGATATACGCAAAACAAACCGAAAAGGAAATATAATCAATCTATACACGATGAAACTAATTCTATTTTACCAAGGTACATTCTACAAAATAATTAAGATAGATGAACCAAACATTTAACTAGTTCACAAATTGTTTCCTTCAATTCAGAATACAAGAACAAGGAAATGTCACTCAGAAAGTTAGACACAGTCCTACCTTGGCAGTTGGACTGACTGGTGCTCAGGCAAGAACTTAGAAGGATTTAACTCTGGAAGCTCACCATGCCACTGCCTGACTCCACAATGGAAATGCTCCCTCCTTCAGCAATTCAGTATTCACCAGCGGCAATGATCTTGCCCAGAATCAATCTTAGTTCTCGCCTAAAGAAAACACTGAATTCATAAACTCTTTATCCATGAAATGTTAGAAAAGAAATTTCCCCAAAGTCTGACCTTCAAAAATTTTATCCATTTACAGAAATCACACCATGATTCTACCAAATTTACATACTACACACAATTCCTTCCTGAAAAGCACCCCAAGGCCATGAGAATTACCACAAGAAAAGAGACAGAACTCCTGTTTCTCCCTTTCCTATTGCTTCATTGGCCTGTTGACCTCAGAGCATGCGGCTATCACCAGCCATGTGTCCATTGCCTAGGAATTTACATGCCTATTTCACACATCTACAACTATCTCTGGGCTAATTCCTTTGACTTCTGTAGCTAAGGTCAAATATGTGCATAAATGGCTTACTCGTTTCAAAGGCTCTTTGTCTGTGTGTGTGCCTGTGTGCCTACACATGCCTACATGTATGTATACCCATGAAGATCTGTGTTTCACATACAGTGTATTCCCCCCAATAACTCCTATTTGTTTTGTTTGTCATTTTAGGATTAGGTCTCTCGAAATAAGCCCTGGCTATCCTGGTACTTAAATGTAGATCAGGCTAGCCTCAGAGATGTGTCCGCCTCCACCCCCTGAGTGCTAGAGTTAAAGACATGCACCATGCCCAGCCTCTATTTTATTTTTTGGAGACAGCATTTCTCAGTGAATGTGGAGCTCAGCAATTTTCGGTTAGCTGATCAATAAGACCCAGAGATTTACCTGTTTCTACTTCTTCAGTGCTGGGATTACAGATGCAAACCATTGTGCTTTTTTTTTTTTTACATAGGTGCTGGAAATATGAACTTTGATCTTCATGTTTTCATAACAAGCACATTGCTTGCTGACCCTATCCCAGGCTCTCAAGCACTCTTTAAAACAATCTCTTTGAAAAGATGGCTCAGTGATTAAGAGCACTGGCTGCTCTTCCAGAGGTCCTGAGTTCAATTCCCAACAACCATATGGTGACTCACAACCATCCATAATGAGATCTGATGCCCTCTTCTCTCCTACATGCATACATGAAGGCAGAATACTGTATACATAATAAATAAATAAATCTTAAAAACAAAGTCCATCTCAGAGCTGGCCCCTGCTCTTGGAAGAGATGGCCCCATTCTTCACAAGCAAGGGTGAACCCACCCTGAGGTCATGGGCCTAGGGGAGCTGATTCTGCCCCTTTGCCTGAGGTAGGTAGCCCTAGTGGCCAGGACTCAGCTACCACCCTGGCCAACAGCAGGGCCTTCAGTTGGCCCACCTGAACATCTACCATCTAGGACCTGCTGGAGCTTATGAAGGGACTGGTCCTGTGGAACAATGTCTGCAGGATCTCCAAGACTTAGGGTGGCTATGGGATATCCCAGAGGAATTTTGGTGAGGATGTAGTGATGATGGTGTACTGGATACCAGAGACATTGAACCAGACCAGT